TCGAAGCCGTGATTCAATATATTCATGTTCCGCTTAAAATGTGTTACAATTCGCCTTGGTCATACAATTGCAACTCACCAATGGATCCTGAAGAAATCTTCTTCCCCAATCTGCTGTTGTGGACAAACTCTTAATATAAAGCACATTCTCTGCTACTGCCTCAACTTTTCCTTGGCTAGAAGTATTGCACTTGGAACGATTAACACTTTGAACATTCTACAATCAGCTTCAGAACAGAATATCAATTCTATACATTACTTTATTAATACTACTAAGCTCATTATCTAATGTACATTTTATTATTCTTTTTTATAATTAGAGCCGATAGCCTGTGTTGCTAGTGCTCAATGTCTTTTTTTTTTAGTCTAAAATTAAAACAATAATAATAATAATAATATATTTCAGATCTTTCGGACAATTCAGTAGTCGTGAGTTTGAATCTCACCGCGAAATAATAGGCAATGTAAATTTTTTAACATTATAGAATAACTATTAAACAGATTATAGACGAACAAACAGAAGAAGCTTTCCAAGTCTCAGTAGAAGAAGTCTCTCTTTACATTATTAGGTTATTAATCCATTAATAAAAAACATATACTGGATGAGGGAAGTTGCAGGCGGCTGAATGTCCAAATTCAATTTTTGATCGGATCAAAGACTTGCATAGATTAAAATTTTTGATCACGTTTCTATAATGATCGCGGAACGTTATAGTGGAATTACTAGATATATATAGATGCATTGGATGATTTTGATGCCATTGATGAATAGGTTGATAATTTTGTTCAATTTTTTTGCAAAAACGATTGCCTGTCTTGCTCGGGTTGCAATTTAGGTTGAGCACATTCCTAGTATAATACATTTGCTTTTAAGGAGAGATTTTCGACGACATCGTTAAAGGATTTGCCGATTAAGACAAATAGAATATGTGGGTTTTGGAATTTTGACCTGGAGAAAATTGGCCGCGTAGAGGTTGAACAGAATGGGGCTTAAGCAGCTGCTTTGCGGCAAATGATGTTGCGTTGTGTTCACATCGAACCTTTTTTATTCAACCCAGCAATTCATATGTTATTGCTGATTAATATGCTTTGCTAAATTATTTACTTACAAACAGCTGAACCAAAAATTAAAATTTTTGATTAAATTTGTGAAAGGTAAGTAAAATAATGCTTTTTTTTTGATTTTTAATCCCATTGTCAAATCAATACCACTTGTACCCTAATTTGCCAAAGCTTGTGATCATAAAGCACAAACGATCAACAAATAATAGAAATCCCTCACTCTACTGAGAATATTGGTCTTATCGCCAACACACCTAATCCATTCGACTAAACAAAACGAAAAAAATAAGGTGAATATGTTGTCATTAAATAATCAAGTAACATTGAGGAATATATAAAAATCGTGCGGAATGTTGTATATACATTTTTGCAGACGAATCGCGTCTCAAAATCAATGTATCAAGATAAGGGGTGGCTCCATCGTAAGCTCTGAAACAATGTGAAGCGCTACGCAGCTATACCATTCAAATAATTTCAGGTAATAGTGGAAAGTCTTTAAAGCTGTGATCAATGGCGCCGTGATCAGACGTCTGTTCGATCCAATCACACGGAAATATATAGTGATGTTCATTGCAAAGTAATACACATTATTGAGAGATGCTTCGGTAGATATAAAGGCTAGCATTAAATTTTCAAAAATCTAAGTTAAGCCTATTCATTTTTCAAGGTCGAAGGTACATTTTATGTAAGAGCAGATACGATTGAAGGAAGATGCGAAAATGCAAATGTTTTCGCGGCCTTTCACAACGTTAGCGTGGACTATTGCGACGTTTTGCTAGACGACTTCTAATTGTTATAATAGAAGATCAAAGGAATAAATCTATTTTTGAAAATTAAAACGTTCGTTTTTATTTACGTAATACAAAGCTGCCATTTATTTTCAATATCATACATTCCTTACAGATAGATTCGTGTCTTAATGTATATATATATATAAATATATTACATAAAATAGGAATATATAAAATTCAAAGTTCTAGTTCGCTATTCAAATTCAAAGCTTTCCCAAGAAATTAAAATATGTAATTATATGAATTATATTAAATTATTTCATTTCATTCTATCAAAAATTTTATATAATTTTGTTTTTATTTACGTTTACATAATTGATAGTATCAAGCTGTTTGTTTGTAAACAAACCTGCGTCAAATCTGCCCATTATTTTTTCGAAATAAAATTCACAATCAAGTGGGCGCTACTTAACTAAAAAGTACATAATCGGTGCATAGAATTAGCTGATGCTGTTAAGTGTCGTATGAATGAAATTAAAAACTTAACATGAATTTCATCGTTCAGAAACTGATAATTGTTACAATTTTCTACATTTGTACACATCATGCTCCCGATGGTAAATTGGACATTTTAATTTAGTTTTATATTGATATATTGTTATAGTAAAAAAGAGGTTTAATAGTTGCTACCTTTTCATTGACTGGCCACTTTCGGTTGCTAACATGACATATATGGATACTTCTGATAACAGGGGTTAAATTTTTTAGCACCGTCCTTATCGCTTTTTTAGTGGTAACTTATTCATCAATTAGTCCACTAGCGTAGGGTTTGTCAAATGTGGTTGTGCATCATAATTTTGCAGGAATGCAATCAAGTTTGATACCAATGGACTGAAGTTCACCAATTCTGATAGCTCTTTGCATGCTGTCATAAGTTGGTTTCCTTCTAAAATTTGAACACGTTGATGATGACATTCGAAAATAGTCACAACTGCGTTCACATTACCTGAATGGATGAATTGGGAACACTGTAACTTTCTTCTCGATAACATCGTCCAGAGCAACGAACATTTTCTAAATTTGTGTATTCGCTGGCATTGATCGTAATAGAGGACTAAATCCACTCTTGATATATACATTCCGACAAATCTCGTATCTCTCGCACTTATTATATCGGTGTCGTTATTAGCATGGGAGTACAAAACGTTAGCCATAGTAAGGATAACTCTTGTGTATGCTCGAATGTTGCAATTAGGTAGAAACTATCTGAGCTTGCTATCGACTTGGGTGCGTAGTAGACGCTGTGTTCATAAATGATTACGTAAATAGGAATCGAAAACGTGATCCGTCATGTCGTATATATCCTGCCTTGAATTGACGATAAATTGCAAAAATTCTTTAAACCATTGAATATACATTCAATAATAGCGCCACGCAATAAAATATATCCAGGCGTACGGAGAAAAGTAAAATAGGAAAAAGGGGCGTCAAAGCGCCTTAGTAGCTGCTGCTTGCACGTAGAACTTACTGCCTAGAGAATGGCTTGAGCGATGATAAGCGCATATGTATCATCTCATTTCGGCTGCGATACTGATTTATTTAATGAAAATTAGTGTTTGTGTGCAATTTTAAATTAAATTCTTAAGTTTATACTCTCAATCTACGTGTGTGTGTCAAACTATAAAATCGCTTAGTTTATGCAATTTACGAATTTATTTATAATAAATTAATATTGAGTATCATTGGTTTTACTTTGTCGTCCGCCGATACATTGTCTTATAGCATTGCTACATATACCTTAATTACGTGCGGATAACCGAAATGCGATACATTGTTGGGCGTGTCATAAAGGTAATAAAATAACCGTCGGTAAGTGCTCTACGTTTACTGTACTCTCTGGTACACATGCTTCCAATTCTACGTTTCTATCTTATATTTATTTATCTTTTTTTTTTTCTTTAATTTTCTTTTGGTCGTTGCAACTGGAATTATCAGATATATTTTCTCTTTTGTTCGTTCACTTCGGCATGTCAAGGGATTTACAATATCGAGATTGTGTCTTTCTTACGCGGCATCCGTAGATCAAATAATAAAAAATGTTGCTTGCATATTTTCAACGTCCAAAATGGTAATACCAGAGTCCTGAACTTAATGAAGCAAGTTCTTTCTATTCCTTCTTGCGTAGAGGTCAGGTCGTCGGTTGATCTTCCAAAGCAAGTTTTAATGAGCAGTGATATAAGAGGGAATATTGACTAATATTGACTAATATTCCCTATAAGAGGGAATATTGACTAATATTGACTAATATTCCCTCTTATATAGTCAATTCATTTGTTAATAATTAAAATACTCAAAACAAATTATTAATAAAGCTAAATTTAGATTTTTAGAATTAGTATAAATTTAAATGTAATTGATATATTTATTAATATATACTAACATAGAAAAACAATGATGCATATTTGCCTCATTTTAATGTTAAATTGATAAAATATTGGTATATAAAGAACATCAGAAGGACACATTTCTAAAATCCAAATGATGGATAAATTTGAATTAGCTGCCATTATATAACGTTTTTAAAAACAGTCAGGGAGAAGAAGCTGTATGTTTTCTGTGTGCTTTTTAACTTTAGATTTGGAGCTATCGAACCGCTGCTAATTTTCAAGATGTACATGCATTGAATTGCATGTTATCGTATTTCTACGTTATTAGTATTGGCAATCATCCTCTAGGTAATTTAGATTTTTCCGCACCTTCATTTTCATATTGAAAACTAATTTATAATTAGGCGTTTGCAAAAGTTTTGATCACTTTTCCTCTTAAAAAAGGCAATTATTGTGGAAAACGGGCTCCTTATATATTAATCAAAGTAGCTTCCTTTTCTTCTTGTCGCCACTTTTAAGCACTTTGAACCCAAAACCAACAATTGGAATATGATGGATGGAGTAGCATCATGATAAGCTTCTGAACGTTATTAGTTGCCTTCGGCAGCAGATTTCTTCAAATAAACAACAAAGGGGAATGAATTTGGAAGAAGTATTTGGAGCAATCCATGACTAGCGTCGGCGTACGCTGAATAAGTAAACGATATTAAATGGAAAGATGTTAATCTTTGTACAGCAATGTCCAAACCATTGAATTTAACCGTTACGTACACCGGTATTTCCCATGTCTTTATTATTTTTACCTGTAGAAATGGGTGACCAAAATTTTGCCAAACACCTATTATTATTATTATTATTATTATCATAATTTTAGACTAATGAAATAAATTCTTCGACTAAAAAAAAGACATTGAGCACTAGCAACACAGGCTATCGTCTCTAATTATAAAAGCACATTAGATATTGAGCCTAGTAGTTTTGATAAAGTAATATATTGTATTGATATTCTGCTCTGTAGCTGATTGTAGAATGTCCATTGAGTTGATCGTTCCAAATGCAATATTTCTAGCCAAGGTAAAGTTAAGGCAGTCACAGAGAATGTGGCAAATGTGGCAAACATCTAATAGTTACAAAATTCGTTCAATTTATTTCATGCAAGTAAACTAACAAAAGTACACTCTTCTGAGAACAAAAATATGTATCAATTAGTTTCCCGAATCAAATGATTTTTTTAATTTATCTGTTAAGATATTTGTGTTTTTGTTCCTTCACCAATTTAATATCTTAGGAAATACTTTCATTTACACAATAAAATTCTTTTGTACCGGCAAACATCATTGTTTTATCAGGAAGTTTGCTCTGTATTGAGCTATAAAATGTATAAAAAATATATTTAATACGTAATTGAAAATAAAATGTGATATAATATAAAAAAAAATTCCGCACTTGAATTGTACAAATATTTTAAATTCGTTTAAAGTACCAAATAAATCATGATGTAAATATGTAATTAGCCAAATAAAAATAAGATCGTGGTTATAGTATCTACGTATTCAAAAAATATATAGAATAAGACGTGATTTTATAAAATATTTTATAAAAGACACACATCATTTACTTATTATCTATTTTACGAAGGATTTTTCTCTCAAATACTTTTACGAAACCATTCAAAAGCCTAATATTTTTCTTCTTCACGTTTTTTGTTTGAAAGAAATGCGTCATCAGAACCATTTCAGGATCAGGATTCAAGTGGTACCGCACAACCCATTTCGATAAGCATTTTCGGAATAGTGCTGAAACGGTTTTCCAGGAAACTAATCATCAAATGTTCTTTATGTGCAAGCACTTGCACTTCCATTGTTTGATTTAAAATTAGTTGACAAAGCTTAGCCGTACTAACTCTGTGTTCCTCAGGGGTGATATTAGCAGTTTTAATACCGGCTATGCGAAACAATACGGCCTGGCACGGTATACGCGCTATGGAATGATCACATTTGGCCATACTACGCAAATGAACAAGCTGCTCGTTGCCATAGTCTACGTAGAATACCTTAAATATTTTGTAGTCATCATCGTGCGTCAAAATTCTGGCTCGATACCAAAATCCGTCGTCATATTTCGCCAAAACCGTCTCAAAAACAAATGGTGGTCTCTGCAAACGTTTCCAAGAAGGTACGTCATCATCATTCCATATTAAAGGGGTTTTAGATTGGCCGGACCCGTTGATTTGAGCATGAAAAAACTCCAACTCTGCCACATTAGTAGGCGTAATCGTAATAATATCCCCCTTATTATATATTATTTCCGGAATTTGATCATATGCAGTTGAAAGAACAATGTCTTTAGTCCATCCATCAGGATGTTTAGGTGTATGTTCCTGTTTGCAATTGGCGCCCTTGAAGCAAGCGCCGGTTTTTGGATTATAGAAACGGCAAATACGTTTGTCATCTTGGGGATCATAACCCATAACAGCTTTCATAGCATTTGAGGTGCATAAAGGTTCATCATAGAGAATATCTAAGTCCTCCTGGTTTAGGTCGTTAGGATTGAATTTTCCGTTTTGAAGTAAGGGTTTACTTTCTTGCGATTTCACATCAGTGCATAAAGCCGTACTATTGTCTTCGATTAACTCCACTTGGATATCGTCATTGTTTACGCTTACGACTTTTAGGATTACAGATTTATATTCTAAATCTCTCAATTTACTTTGCAATTCTTGTTGGTTCTCAGTGGTCTTTCTTAATTGACATGGTATAGCTTGAGCTGGCGTTTGTCTTTGTTCTTCGCATAGCTTATACATCATATCTTTTGACTGCAACTGTACAATTTCACCGAAATCCAATAGATAGCAAGACCAAAATTCCTCGTCTAATTCTGCATCATACGATGACTTGGAAGAGCGCACTGCTCTCAAAATGCGATTATCTAAAACTAAGCCGAATACTTCACTCTCCGGGGGAACTCCATGATATTGATAAAGTTGTAGTGATTGGGCAATTTCTTTAACTTTTTCAGCGTGAGATCGATGCAAGTCGATTATAAAAAATTTTAAGGATTCTGCGTCCTTTACGTAGGTAATCGAAGCCTTTATAATGTCATTCACTTGATACATGGTGTTGATGTTATGTTTAGGGTAGATAAAATCGTCAGATTCGTCTATTTCACTTGATATACTGTCAACTTCGTCAGTCTCTTCTTCCTTTTCGTCTAAAGTCAATTGTTCAAGTATTTCGTTCACTAGCTTACCCTTGTGTTTGGTTGGCTGATTTAATTGCAATAGCAGATTAAATTTTCTTGCCATATTCATAATATTTGTAATGCTTGTTACCAGAGAGTCGTACGCAATTAAGCCATTGTCTTCAGACCTATGAGGCCATTGTTCTTTAAGCATGTCAATTAATTTACAGCTGCCTTGGAGATATCGTTCAGCACAGCATTGTACTTCAAGCAATTCTTGCATCAACATTTTATGCAATTGCACCAATTGATCCAAGCGGTTAACCATTGTTACGATATCTTTCTAAAAATGCAAGATAACACTACCGGCGTCTAGGAAATACGCACAAGCGTTCTGTAAAATAAAATAGACTATTTTTTTTCACTTTTATTTGATGCGAACAAATTCAATAATTACTTCCACTCACAATTATACTAAGCTATTATTTAGTTATGTTGTAATTACATCAAGTTAGCGTGAACCGTTGTTCTTTAAATTTTACATGAGTTCGGAACGGAACGAAGCAACCACAAAATTATTTGCTGAAAATGGCAGGCCGGAACATAAAGAAAAGAGAACACGCATCTGCCGTGACAAATTCTGCACATGTTTTGCAACATATGTATATTAAGAAGAAAAATTTTTTTTTTAAAAATTATATGTTTTGTTGTTGAAACTATTGTTTATTTCAAAATGGAAAAGTACTTGGTATATATTCTCAAGGACCATACCCTCTTCTCTGTTCAGAGTTCCATTTCATTTCATAATATGAATCACAATCTGGCGCAAATTAATAGCCTTATTATTAAACTATTCAACTTTAAATACGAACTTTACGGATACTAGGGGCTCATAAATATTTGAAAATATCTGATAAATAGTCTTCCCAATGTTTACAGTGATGCTGATCTTAAGGAATTAACTTGCTTCATTAAGAAAGCAATTGCAAATTAAATGTTAATGGCTTACAAATACACTTTTTAGTTTATTTACAAAAATGGATTAAGAATACGATCAGACCCATATATCTAGTAGAGTGTTTTTATTATTTGATGATCAATTTGTAACTTAATGGTATGCAAATATTTTAATTGCGCAATTCCATAACTAAACAAGGAAGAAAGTTACATCCGACTGGGGCCGAATCTCGCATATCTATCACCATTAAAATCTTTGGCCCCCATGCTTTCATATATTGTTATAAGAAAGCGAATTGGGTAAAATTTATCTTTTACCTTTTACTTCACTAAAACAAATTGTTAAGAAAAATTAATCTACCACACCGTGACGTCCACCATAATTAATGTATAATTAAGACACTTAGCTTGTCACATTCTACTCTCCCAAATGCTTTTATTTGATACCCATAGGGGAGTTATTTAAAAAAAAAAAAATCAACCAGATCATGCTGCCCATCATATTTATTTTAGAATTCGGAGGGATCCGCCTGAGTGGCCGAGTAGGCAAGAGTCTCGACTACCAACTCAATGGTCGTGGGTTCAAATCTCAAGTGCGGTAGAGTTTTTAATAAAGCTGAAAGCCTTAGATGCTAGTGCTTTAAGACTTTAGTCTTAGAATTTATTCTCTGACTAAGTTTATAATAATAATAATAATAGAATTAGGAGGACGCAAAATAGTTTTAAATATACTGTTTTGTGTACCTTACGATTAATAAGCATAAAAACTTAAAAAATTAAAAAAAAAAATCAAATTTAATCACTTTGTGTGTACATGACCGATTTTTTCCATTTTTGCACATAAAGAGTAGAATGTTTTATAAAGTAAATGTGACTATTATCAGCCTTCTAATTTTTATAATTTCTGAGTGATGAGCAAGACTCCATATACTTTTGTTAAGAAAAACGGAGTTACGTTCCGTTTACGCTTTACTGCGGGCTTTTGCTCGGACCAATTTGGCCCATTTTCAATACCTACCTGCACACAAAAAATTCCAATGTGTCTACAAAATTCGCAATCGAAATCTTTATTTTTGCGACCAGGAGAACGCTAACAACAGACGCATATACAGACGGACAGACATAGTTTAATCATGTCAGAAGGTCATGCTAACGAAGAATAGCGAAGAAAACAATAGCTCTCTTTTGGATGTTCCATATATTATGACGAAATGCATATACCGCCATACCTGAGTGATTGGTATAATAAGGTCATCAAAATCTTACGTTTTAAATTTCTAGCTTCAGTTACTTGTCGCATTAGCATGAGGTCTGTGTTTCGCGACTTTACGATCGCGCTTCTTAATAAAAATAAAGAGAAATCAATTATGCGAATATAATAATCTTTACCTATTCCATCGCGATCTTCAAAAAAACTCATATTGCTTGAAGTCTTACCTACTGGATTATGTGGTATGCAAAACTAGACTAGAAAGTTAAATAAATTATGTTAATCAAAACAGAAGAATTTATAAAAATAAACATTTATTTTGCTGAAAGAAAAGAGGTAAACCACCGGTTTAAAAACAAAATTTTCTTTCTTCTAAAATAATAAAATTGTATACAATTAAGTAAAAGTTCGTATTCTTTCATCTTTTTTTATTAATGCCTGGGCATTGGAAAATTAAGGGAATAGTTAGGAGAAAGGATCGTCATCGTCTTCACAGTTCTCGGTGCGATTGTAAGTGTGAAACAAACATTGTTCGGTATCACTTTCGGAATCAGTTATTTCATCGGAAGCAACCTTATAGTTTAAAGGTGTTGGGTTTATTCCGTCAATTTCACGGACATCAATAAAATTATAATCGTAAGACAACCAACCAAACTTTCCAGGATCTTTTAAGAGTCTTGGCCAAGTGATATATACACACTTAACGAGGCGTACTATGACGTTGAGACCAAGCAATTCGTGGGACACTAATTTTGGCGCAACTGCACCCAAAAGATTTAAAATTAAGATGTTTTCTTCACCATGAATTTCGGCGGCAAAATGTAACTGATCCTTGCCCACTTTCAAATAATAATCTTTAATGTCTGGAACATGAATGGACAAGAAAATTAGGTAACCGTTTTGATGCCAAGTAGTTCTTGGACGTTTATGTAAAACTTTTAAAGGGGGTAGGCGGTGTTTATCTTGTAATGACGGGGTTAATTTTTCCTTTTTTTCTTGTTCGTTCTCTTCTGACAATTTATCAATCCCGTTTATTAATTTCGGTTCTTCAGATGTTGTAGCTTCCGCACCGGAGATTTCAGTTTTTTCGTCTTTCAATTCTATAAAATCTACCGCGTCTAATGCGTTACACTTTTTGATGCATTCTAATAACTCGTTGAATGTTACTGGCTTGTCAATTGCGCCCTCGTGTTGTGGATTTCTTTCATTTAACTCCTTTATTTCAAAATCAATTTCTGAGTTTAAAAAATGCTTGGTTTCTGGATCAGCGACAGTCACGCCATTTTCCAGCAAGACTTTATTAAATAGGGAAGCATGTGTAAAATCACCCTCCTCCTCGCACTCATAGAATAGGACGATGTAAGAATTAATTGGAAACTTGCATAGAGTAAAAATTGCTTGGCTTTTTTTTGAATTCTGCTGTACGGCATATACGTATAAAAATTGTTTACATACTTTATGACGTTTGGTGAAGCGATCCCATTGTATGCCAGCCAGGTGACAATGTATAGCTTGATATGGAATAAAATTTACAATTTCCTCGCTGGTCTCATAAAGGAAATCTTTGTATAAATCTCCTGACTTCACATTAATAAAGCAAGCATAATCGCATAAAAAAAATCTGTAAAGACGTTCACTTATTTCATTGCCGAATATGCAATGTACCTTGGCCCGTAAATACAAATTATTGTACTTAACTATGCAATTATGCAGAGGTTGAAAATCATAGATTTTTGGATGATTATTATTATAGATAGCTTTCATGTTGTGAACATGTTTATCAATCAGTTCGATTAATTGATTAAATGTTCGCGTGGAAATCGGATCGATTAACTGTACAAACATATTCTCCCAATTTCCGTTTTCGTCTTCATCACCGATTTCTACTTTTACCAATTCATTAAGAGGTAATTCACTCCAAGATTCTTTAAAGTGGATCGTTTGGTTATAAAATGATGTAGACTTGTTAAGAGCACCCGACTATATATTTAAATGAAATGAAAATAAATGCCAATAAGCGGATATGATTAATTGTTAAGTTCGTGCCTTACCTCATTTTCGAGTTTGTCTTCATTTGGACCAGGTTCCGATATCTCTTCCTGCTTCTTCCCAATATGATTTACTACTTTCTCCTTCTTATTTGCATTTTCGTTAATTTGCGGGCTGGTTTCTATTTGATCTTCATTTGTTAAGTTTCCGGCTGGTGAATTAATTGAAATCAATGAACTTTCATCGTTTACATTCGAATTATGACCAATTTTGGGTACTGGGGGCGGTAATTTCAATAAACCGTATTCTTTAGCTATATCACATACATTCTTCCTATCACCTTTATATTGTAAAGCGAGTTCGTTTGCAAATAACGTCAATTTTAAATCGATCAGCTGCCTATAAGTGCCAATCGCATTGAGTCTTTCCATTACAACCAGTTTATCTATCCATATGGTAGATGCTAAAGCAAAATTTACACTAACATGCACTACTTGGTTATCTTTAATGTCATCCACAATCCACTTCTGCACTTTTTTAATAGCCGCCGAATCCCACATACGTTCGTTATCGTAAGGTACTACATTCATTAAACGGATATCAATCGCTTGATGTGGAAAATCTTTAAATTTCTGATGACAAAGGCAAATTTCTT